CAGTGTTTCAGCGATGATTCATCTGAAAGCCTCTGATTGGCAATTGCATTCATAAGCTCAACAGAATCGTGTGTGATTGGTTATAATGCTCAGCGCTGTCTGTCTCTGCCTCAGCGCCAGCCAGCGAACGCAGATTTGAATTTAGCAGCTAGTGATGTGCCGCACTTCACACCCGTGTGTTTGTATCAAATATAAAAATATATATTATTTGGCTATTTTTCTCTTTTGGAAGCTGCATTCAAAATCCACTTGGCTCAGAAACTCTTGAACTCTGCTTGAAATTTGCTTGAACTCCACCCCTTGCATTCACATGTGCCAATGGATTACGCAAATTAACCAGCAAAAATGTTTCCCTTTTCAATTATCGTTTTTTTCTTAGCTGTACATCACAACACGTAAGAAAAGATCTGTCGCTATTTCTGTTTCATCTCGACTTTAAAGTGAAGGGAACTGAATAAAAATGTGGTACCTGAGGTGCAAGGTAAACGGCAAACTCAAGCTTGGCTTTCTTGCCATGGTCAATGGACAGCCTCTCCATCAACAGTGAAGCAAAGCCTTGAACCAGTTCCACCACCAAAGCTGTGGAAGATGAGGAAACCTTGTAGTCCAGTGCACTGGTCACACTAAATAAAAAAAGGTACAAACTATTAATAAATCTATAAAAACATAATTGCAAGAAAACTTGCATATCTAAATAGAAAAAAATGTCTTACCAGTTTGCGAACACGATCATTTACCACGTCTACTATTTCCTTGCCAATGGTGTAATGGCCGCTGGCGTAATTGTTGGCAGCATCCTCCTTCCCAGTTATCAGCTGCTCTGGGTGAAACAGCTGTCTGTATGTTCCAGTTCAAACCTCATCTGAATGGGAAAAAATAATGCTACAAAAAAAAAAAACACAGGAACTGATTGGATGGCGCAGGGGAACAGTCGTTAACTACAACTATTAATACATTTTTGTTAACTGAAATAAATATAGATAAAAATTAATTAAACAAAAATTAGAAATGTTGCTTTAAATTCTTGAAATAAATCTAAAACTAAAACCGAGATAAAATAAATCAAACCTAAATAATAGAAATATTTAAAACATAAATAAATAAAAAATAACTCAAATCAATTAAAAATAAACAAACAAAAGACAAATCAAAACATTAAAAAAAAAATACAATAGTATATAGGCTTATGTAATACTAAAATAACACTGGGACGGCGAAGATGGTCTCTATCTGACAGATTTTTGGATAGGAAGTGTTGAAAAAAATGAAAGGGCTTGATGTCAGCAGAAAAGTGAAACATTTTCAGAGGCCTAGCAAGAGAATGGTTAATACAATGGGGTAATTTGCACAACCAAATCGTTCAAAAAGACCCAAAACATGTATTAATAAACTAACTGGTCAATTAATCATACAAAACAATCTCCATGGCAACCATGTTTCTTTCAAAATACCATTACTTTTACTACAATAAACGTTGGTAACTTGCTATTAGTCATTACACATACAAGAAATACGATTCTTACACTATTTTAATTATGATTTACTTACACTATTTTAATTATGATTTACAGTAGTTACACTACATGACTGCCAATCATGTAAATAAACGTAAATGCATTCTGACCAACGACGGTGGCTTATTTTTGAAACTAATTATAATATAAATGTCAATCACTTGTTGGAGCATTATTATTGGTCCACATTAAATATTCGAATATAATCCTAATATAACGGGAATTTAAGTTATGATAAATCGAAATCCAAATATTTTGCTGATGTGTTTACCAGTACTGCCAAATTGTAGATATATGTTTATAAATAAAATGTCGTGCAAAAAAAATTTAAAAAGTACGTTAATCGTCTGTAGGGGATATTTCACGGATGTAACCAACTATTGTAGTGCATGATTGCAGAACAATGTCAAGTGTTCGTTGTCATGCATCGTTTCAGAATGACGCTGTATCTTTCATTCATTACCTTAGCAACGCGTGCCTTGTCTTTACGTCAGCGCGCGCGGCTCTAGTGACCGGGTATAAATATCAGCTGCATGAGCGCGAGAACTCGATGAATGCAGACAGAGGTGTGTTTGATGCTGCCAACATGAGCGGACGAGTAGGAGACCTCAGTCCCAAACAAACTGAGGCTTTAGCACAGGCAAGTAAATGCAAAAAAATCTCTTTTTTTATTCCTGAATTTCAGGATATTTTGATATATTTTGAGTGTCATTCATAGTTTCGTTTAAGACTCATAACTGTTTACATATCAGTTTTTAATATCAAATACGATACACACGACCGGTCAAAGGTTTGGGGTCAGTAAGTGTATTTATTTATTTATAGAAATGAATACTTTTATTCAGCAAGGATGTATTCAATTTATCAAAAGTGACAGTAAAGATATTTATAAAATTGCATAAGATTTCTATTTCAAATAGATGCTGTTGTTTTGAACGTTCTGATCATTAAAGAATCAACAAAATATTATGGCAAGAAGCACAACTTCTAATACTAAATGTTACTTGAGCAGCAAATCAGCATATTAGAATGATTTCTGAAGGATCATGTGACACTTAAGACTGAGTAATGGTGCTGAAAGTTAAATTATAATAATATTCCACAACATCATGTTTTTACTGTAGCTTTGAGACTTCTTTTTTTTTTTAAACATAAAGACCCCAGACTTTGAACGGTGGTATGTCCTTCTATTAAAATGTAATATAGCATACAAAACTAATCTTCAGAGTTAACCATATTCCTGTCCAAGATTTGTGTATATATTTTAATGCAATTTGTTTGATTAGTTTCGGGAGAAAATAGCAGATGTGTTGGATCAACTGCCCAATCAAACTGACCATTATCTGCTCCGGTGGCTCAGGGGTGAGAATGGATTTTAAAATGTAATAATACAAACATCAGAGTAGCGGGAAACATGGCTTTCATAAACTGTCCTTATCTGGGAATTTGATTTCAGGTAACTTTTGTATGAATGTAGCGGAAGCCTGCTAAAGTTCTTGCCATTAAATTATCTCTGACTCTGACTGCATGCTCTATGGGTGACCTTTTGACCCCATGAACCTGTGTGTTGATTAACAGACTGCCAGATCTACAGTAATCTTCAGCAAACACTTGCGATTATATGGAGGACAATATATGCAAGTACTCTTCCATGAAACAAAAAAGTTATTTCTGAGACGTATTTAGTTTTTGCATGTCCGATTGCTTCATCTTAACCAGTTTTATCTGGAAATCAATATTGTATGTTGAGGCAGAACATCCCAAAACCATCTGTTGACTTTACTTTTTGAGAGAGAAGTTCAAGGTGACATTCTTCTGAATGTATGCATGCGTCAGAGTTTATCTCCCTTCACCTGTGATTTTTGACCGTTCCAGATTTATTTGCTCTCACCCTTTGCACTACATTATTGTTTAATATCCTAAAGTCCTTCTCGTCTGCATTTAGCCTTTAATTGTGATTCATATGGGAAAGAGCAGCATAGAAATCTGGCATCTGTTGTACATATTTTCCTATTTTGCATTAAAAAATAAAAGAATCAAGACTGTAGAGTAATGCAAAAGTTGTAATTAATAACAAAAGTTCAAGTAAAAGTTGTAAATGAAACAAAAAATTATAGGAGTATATTTTACAAAACAAACAAAAAACAACTATTTCAGTCATTCTATAGCTCAAAATTTCATATTTATTTCAAAGTGTTACTTGCCATTTCTTTGTAATTATTTGTGACATTTTCTAGTCATTTCTGGATGAAAATCATTTCAAAGTAATTTCTACAAGTAACACAAGTTTCTAATTGTTTTAGTGTAGATTATATAAAAGACATTTTAAGTTTGCTTTTAAATCTTGTTTGCAGCTAGAAGCTTCAATGTCCTCAAATCTGAGGCAATGATTAGAAAGGTAAATATCACAGCTTAAATTAATTTACAAGCACTTTAAACACCCGAGGCTGTATTACAGAAACATCCTAACTCAAAATCCAATCGTATTTGTATAGCAACCATGATAATTTCACATAGGAAATATATATATATATATATATATAGTTCAGTCATGAAACTCTAGATGGCGCATTCTGACGGGGTGTTAACGTAACTGATGATATTCAGAGAGTTAAAATGCTATTTGTGCAGCAGCAGTATGTCTTAAATGCTCATGGCACCGTATCGCCATATGCATTGGCAGTAGCAAGTTCCTGTACTTGCTTGCAGCAGCAGCAATAATCTACAACTACAGCAATAACCAACAGCAGCAGCAATTCAGCAGCAGCGTAGCAGATCTGTTCCGCCAAGACCAAATACATTAACATTGTCATATCCATCACCATGCTAAAATGTTCCGAGAGTTGTCATGATTGAAATATATTTTTTACAATATAAGATAGGACATTTCTGTAATACAGCCACTTTGAATAATGCATGTAAGAGAACCAAATTAAACCAGAATTTTCTCATTTGCCTTACATATGTCAATATCGTTGTACTCCAGCATCTGGAGTTTCGCAAGCATATGAAAGTAGACACCATCATTGACGACTGGAAGCCACCTGAGGTATATCAGGACAGTTTCAATTTTTATCATGATCTCAAAATGAAAATGGCCTTGCTAACAAACTTATGTTGTTTTTCTCCGTCCAGGTCATTAAGCACTATGTGGCAGGGGGATTGTGTGGCTATGATCGTGAAGGAAGTCCTGTCTGGTACGATATCATCGGCCCTCTTGATCCAAAGGGCCTTTTACTGTCGGCTAGCAAACAAGACTGCCTGAGGACCAAAGTCAGAGACGCTGAACTTCTTCGACAAGAGTGTGAGAAGCAGTCTAAAAAGGTACAGTCTGTCAAGACCAAATTACTAAGAATACACTCTGAAAACTGTGACTATTTTCTTCACTCTCAAAAAAATAAAGGTTCTCTATTGGCATCTGTAGATCCATCAAGAAGCTTTAACATCCATAAATATGTATATTTCATTTAAGAACTGTTCACTGAAAGGTTCCTTGGGAAACCAAAAATGTTTCTTTTATGGCATTGCTGTAAAACGCCCCTTTTGGAACCTTTAGTTTTAAAAGTGTAATGAGTGTAATGTGATATTTTATTATTTGAACATTCAAATCTGCTTCCCATCTGCAGTGATCAGGATTATGTCTGTGTTTTTTTTTTATTGTTTTTGGGTGATCTTATTCATCAGCTTGGCAAATATATTGAATCAATCACCATCATTTATGACTGTGAGGGGCTTGGCATGAAACATATTTGGAAGCCTGCCGTTGAGATGTATGGCGAGGTAGGAACATGATGCTTTCAATACAGCTTAGTCCTTTTGAAGTCCAATAATAATATACAAACTTTTAATATCACTGTATAATTGTTTGTATTTTACTGTGACCTAGCCACATGCTCAGACACATTGAGCTTTGGTGTTTGAGCTTAAATCTTTCTTGTTATTTGCCGGTCAGTAAGTACAGTATATACTGTAAATGAATAAGAAATTTATCACAAATAAATTTTTTAATAAATAGTTCACCCAAAAATCAAAATTTTACTCACTCTGAGGTCATCCAGGATGGACATGAATTTGTTTATTCATTGTAACAGATTTAGAGAAATGTAGCATTACATCACTTGTTCACCAATGGATCCTCTGCAGTGAATGGGTGCCGTCAGAATGAGAGTCCAAACAGCTGATAAAAGCATCACAATAATCCACAAGTAATCCACACCACTCCAGTCCATCAATTAACGTCTTGTGAAGAGAAAAGCTGCGTGTTTACTTTATACTGTTTTATTGACTAAATTACAAGTCAATAATATATAATGTTGCTATCTCCAGTAAAACCTTGTTATTTGCCGGTCAGTAAGTACAGTATATACTGTAAATGAATAAGAAATTTATCACAAATAATTTTTTTAAATAAATAGTTCACCCAAAAATCTAAATTTTACTCACTCTCAGGTCATCCAGGATGGACATGAATTTGTTTATTCATTGTAACAGATTTAGAGAAATGTAGCATTACATCACTTGTTCACCAATGGATCCTCTGCAGTGAATGGGTGCCGTCAGAATGAGAGTCCAAATCCACAAGTAATCCACACCACTCCAGTCCATCAATTAACGTCTTGTGAAGAGAAAAGCTGCGTGTTTACTTTATACTGTTTTATTGACTAAATTACAAGTCAATAATATATAATGTTGCTATCTCCAGTAAAACTGTCATCTCATCTGAATCAGGAGAGAAATATGCACAGATCAAGCACTGTTTACAAGCGAAAACGGTCCAGAACAGTTCAACTAATACGGGGGTGGATTTTGATGTGAGAGGACAACAGGGGACTTTTTCACTGGAGGAAGCATTATTATGGACTATGGATATTTTGGCCAGAAGTGATGGTTTACAGTTAAAAATGCCTTAATGGTGAATTTGTTTCTTACAAACACGCAGCTTTTCACTTCACAAGATATTAATTGATGGACTGGAGTGGTGTGGATTACTTGTGGATTATTGTGATGCTTTTATCAGCTGTTTGGACTCTCATTCTGACGGCACCCATTCACTGCAGAGCATCCACTGGTGAGCAAGTGATGTAATGCTCAATCTGAGGAATAAACAAACTCATCTACATCTTGGATGATTCAAGGGTGAATAAACTGTCAGCAAGTTTTCATTTTGGGGTGAAATATTCCTTTAAACACTTGTAACACATGCCTTACAGTCCTTCACATGTCAAATTAAATATGACATTTATAATTGTTATATTGTGGTATTTTCCCCCTGCAGATTCTGACTATGTTTGAAGAGAACTATCCAGAGAGCCTAAAAAAGGTGCTTTTAATCAAAGGTGAGTAATTGTTGCACCAGTGAAATTGCATCAGCATAATATTGTTTGATAATAAACGGTTCTGAATTCTTTTAATGATAAAATTCTTCTTTCTACAGCCCCTAAACTCTTCCCTATTGCATATAACTTGGTCAAACACTTCTTGCGTGAGGAAACAAGGCAGAAGATTGCTGTGCTGGGTTGTAAGTTGTCTCATTAGTGCTGTTTGTTAAGGCAAACATCACAATACTGTTGACTTTGGTGTGTAACTCATCCTGCATGAATGACAGTTTCTCTTGTGATCTCCACCTTCCAGCCAACTGGAAAGAGGTGTTGAGGAACTATGTGGATGCAGATCAGTTACCTGCGGTTTATGGGGGATCCATGACTGATCCTGATGGAGACCCTCTCTGTAAGACCATGGTGAGCTTTACTAGTGAACAGGAGAATAACAATAAGATCACAGTTGAAGTGTATCATGGTTTCCACAAAAATATTATGCAGCACAACTGTTTTCCACATTGATAAGAAGATTTTTTTCTTGAGCAGCAAATCGGAATATTGGAATGATTTCTGAAGGATCATTTGACACTAAAGAGTGGAGTAATGATGCTAAAAATTCAGCTTTGCATCACAGAAATAAATTACATTTTGTAATAACATTTCACAATATTATAGTTTTTACTGTATTTCTTATCAAATAAATGCAGCCTTGGTGAGTTTTCTTTCAAAAACATTAAAAAGTCTTACTGACCCCAAACTTTTGAACGGTAGTCTATTCAAAATACCAATATTTTGTTAGTTGCCTTTACTCATCTGACGTCTTCCTCTCAGTTACGTTATGGTGGTGTAGTGCCGAAGTCGTACTATGTGCGGGACTCTATCAAAGTGAAGTATGACCAGTGCATCACTATTAGCCGTGGCTCATCATACCAGCTAGATTATGAGGTGCTCTTTCCAAACTGCGTACTACGGTAAGTGCCATATGTTAAGTGCTAGTTGTTATGCATAATTGTTTAGCAAAATAGCATGCAATATATTCCATATGTACGCTACTATTGCATTTTTCTTTTGTAGTTAAACTAGTATTACACTGTTTTTTCTTAATCTAGATGGCAGTTTGCGAGCGAGGGGTCTGATATCGGTTTTGGACTTTTCCTGAAGACGAAAGGGAATGAGACAAAAAAAGTAGAAGCCATGCAGGCAATACTGCCTAGCGAACGTTACAATTCCCACCTAGTTCCAGAAGATGGATCCAACACCTGTGAGGAACCAGGCATCTGTACGTTTGTTTTGAATTTGACATTTGAGTTTTATATGGAAGCTTGTTTCCACCATGGAATAAAATCAAGAGGTAACTGTGTCTTTTTGTCTTACAATTCAGACTTTTTTCTCTAAATTCTGAGAATTGCGAAATATAAAGTCAGATTTGTGAGATAAAAAAAATCACAATTCTGGAAAAAAAAGAGAAGAAAAGTCTGACTTGTGAGATAAAAAGTTGTGATTATCTTTTTATTTCTTTATCCTGTAGGGGAAACAAGCTTCCATAGTTTTTGGTGCTATTCTAATTATTTATTATTTATTAGGGCTGGGTTTTGAAACAAATTTCACGATTCGATTCTCATTCACAAGCTTGCGATTCGATTTGATTACCAATTCGATTCGATATCGATTATTTTGGATATATATCAGGTACAGTACATGCCAAATTTTCTCAAGGAAAAAAAAATCTCTCAACTAATGCTGTAAAATATACATGATAGTCAGTTGGTACTACATTACTATAATATTGAAGGCTAAAATTGAATGATTTGTTAAAATTATGCTTAATGAAGTTTTAAAATATTAAAGTTACAATTACATAATAACATTTCTACTTCAATTTTTTTTATTTTTTTATATAAACATAACTGTGGCTGTCATAAAAACTTGATGGATTTATTCAAACATAAATTAAACGTTGAAGAACAGTAAAATTTATAATGAATATGTTATATGGTGCATATATTAAGCAAAATGACCCTCTCTACAGTTTATTTTTCTAGCTGACTAATGAGTTTATGGTCACCAAATATGTTTTTCTGAGGTAAATGTGATGTTACGTGACATTGTTTACAAGACGTTATATATACGTCTTTGCTTGGCTGAAACACTGATTGAGAAATTACATGAGACAGAATACGGATTGTAAAGTTGTACTCTTTCTTTTAACTTACCTTCGGATGTTTAGTCATGTTTATTTTGTGCTGAAACTGGTATTAATGTGGAGGAGGCGATCAGTTCACGTGCGCCTCGCGCTGGCGTCTGTTGATCTGAGGCACTACAGCGATCTGTCACTCAACATTAAACAGCGCCAAAACGACATTTATTGTTTGAATATTGCAATACAAGGGACATAATTTGAAATCTGAGACTTTGTTTCATAATAAAAGTACCAATGCACAATGCTTATCGCGATATATTGGATGGGAAGTGCCCTTCAATGTTCCATCCATTAACTGAAAACAGACTAGACTAATCGATTCTTGGGATTTAAGAATCGATATCGTTCCGTAAAAATGAGAATCGATGATTTTTTACCCAGCCCTACTATTTATGCTGATAACAATGTCTTTTTCTCTGTAGATGTGGTCCGGTTTGACAACACTTACAGTGTGCTACATTCAAAGAAGGTCAGCTTCACTGTGGATGTGCTTCTACCTGAAGGACATACAGGAAAACAGGCATAAAACTCGACTGGAATCAGACTTTATATCATATATCCATTAGCATTAGATAAGATTACTCATGCCCTTACATCATGGACTTTGAGCACACTATGTTTAAACACGGGAAATCAAAACTACTAGATAAGTGTTTTTTGTGTGTGTTTTTTTTTCAAAGTTTTTACATAATTATTCTCTCTGTAAGCAAATTACTATCGATAATTATGAAAAGTGGTTGTACGCAAGCAGTTCCTAAAGGGTGTTGTATGAACCGTTTCCATGTATTTGTAAAAAAAAAAAATATTTGATCAGTAGATATTTTCCTTAATGTAAAATAATTGTGAATATAGACTATTGAGAATATCTCTCAATGAATATGACATTGAATCACAGCAATTACAACTTACTCATGTCAATGCATGTAATGGGTAAATCCTTCAGTAATAGCAAGATTATATTAATTCTTGTAATATTTAGTTGTAGAAAGCCACTTCTATAATTTTGAGAATGTTTTAAATGTGCACATAATTACGCACTAATCTGAGAATAAAATGCATTTAAGAAAACACACACTGTTGATGAGTTGATGTTTATTTGTAACACTAGAGGACGCACTTGCATCACGAAATGCAGAGATGGTCAATAGACACAATGACATTGATTTTACACGCGTCCACAAACAACAAACCCAATGATGTATATTACATTATGGCAGCTTATTGCAGTTGATTTATTTACTTTTCATTACTATTTAAACATAATGATATTTATTCTACTGGTTTTAATTTATACTGATAATAAAAAATGAAAAAATAATCAGTTATTTAAGTGCTATAGCAAAGGAATTGAGGTTGAAATGTGTTTTAATTGTCATCAAAGTCCTGCCAGAAATTATTATCAATCAATCTTTACTTTATTTGTCCCTCAAGAGGTAAATTTGTTTCGGGCAATACAGGTAAAACTGCACAACAAAGTACCAACATCAATAATAACAATCATCACACACAGTTGTGTCCCCTGAATCAGAGTTTAACAGCCTTGTAGCCAAAGGAACAAAAGAGTTTTTATAACGGTTATATCTAGACATCGGAATACGAAAACGTCGACCAGATGGAAGTAATTCAAATTCGCAGATTACCAAACCAGGCTGCTCTACCCTACAGGAAGATGGATTCAATACAGGCATGATAAAACAACAACTTGACCCTCTGAGCAACCCCAAATAATCTAAGCCTCCTACAAAAAAGTTTTTGTTGCACCCTTCTACACAGATTATCCACATGCACCTCCCATGAAAGTTTATTATCCATAAGCAAACCTAAATATTTGTATGATGCAACCTGTCTAACAGGCTTGTTGTTAATCATGATAGGTGAGTGATTGCCTACTGATTTATAATCAAAGATAATTTCCTCTGTTTTACTAACATTAATTACAAGACTATGTTCTTAACTCCATAACACAAAGTCAGCTATCTCTGTAGTGTAACACTGAAGGTCCTCATCCTTGTACAAACGACCAAGAATGGCAGTATCATCTGAAAATTTAACGACAATATTCCCCGAATGGTGACTCCTATATTCATTTGTGTATAATGTAAATAAGAGTGGTGAACAAACACATCCCTGGGGAACACCAATACTAATGGGCCGACATTCGGTCATGATTATGATCTTTTTCAAAATATAACTTATTCTATATTCTTTCTTTCTTTTTTACCATTTTATTTTGTGATGAAATTCACCACTGTGTGGTGAAGGGTAGGGGACAAGGCTCGTGCTGTTACATAACAACTCCACGCGCTACAACACTGTGCCGCGAGCAAAAAATAAATCAAGACGGCAGAAAAATATATAGATAATATAATTTTTAATCGTAAAAATGTTAAATGCTTAAATGTATTTAAACTTATTACCACAATTTATCATAACTACTACCTTGAGACGTTCATCTTTAAAGCCCTAACGTTATGTATTTTAAATAAGCATTACACATATGAAAGTTTCTTTAATTCAACATTATTCCTAATTATTTCCAATATATTGAAAGTGGGCGTTGCGCAATTTTGTATTATGCAGATGAGGGGGCGGGGTCCGCGTGTGGTAGCGATGACGTGACGTAATGTCAAGCCTTGAGGAGAGAGCGCAACATGGCGACAGAGCGGAGCGGACAGGGGTGTCTTCTAACTTTCATCGTGTTCCTCTGGAGCTCTGTCGGCGGGCGAACGGAGACGTCGAGCCCCGGCTCCAGCAGTCAGATCCTGGGCATGCGGCTGGAGAGGAGCGACAAAGCGGCCAGCACCACGGAGGACGGGTTCATCCAGGTAACGGAGGAGAGCAGCGTCCTGCTCAGGTTTTATGGGGTGCACCTGAGCCCAGACTCGGCATCCCACATCAGGTTCACGGAGTACGTGGATACGGAGGACAGCGACGCGTTAAACAGCACTTGTGAGGATTTCACCAAAGACCTGAGCATCAGCACCTTCATGAACGTGAGCAACAGAGGAACATCAGGTCTGGTGAGTGTGTATGTGAAGCCACTGCGTAAGAGTGAACGAGAAAAGACCTACAGCCTATGTGTCAGGCAGGGTTTGGGAGACAAATGGGTCCAGCTGGGTGAAAATGATGGAAGATTGTTAGTTGTAGAGGAGAAAGAATCTCTTCTACCGCTTTGGCTCCAAATCATCCTGGTTTCAGGCTTGCTGGTGCTGTCTGGCATGTTCAGCGGACTCAACCTGGGGCTCATGGCGTTGGATCCAATGGAGCTTCGCATTGTGCAAAGTTGTGGAACAAATAAGGAAAAGAAGTATGCACGCAAAATCGAACCCATTCGAAGCAAGGGCAACTATCTGCTTTGCTCTTTATTGTTGGGTAATGTGCTGGTCAACACAACTTTGACGATCCTGCTAGATGATTTGATTGGGTCGGGGTTGGGAGCCGTGGTGGCATCTACTGTTGGCATTGTCATATTTGGTGAAATCGTGCCACAAGCGCTCTGCTCGCGCCACGGTTTGGCCGTAGGCGCCAACACCATCATGTTGACCAAGTTTTTCATGCTCCTGACCTTCCCCTTGTCGTTCCCCGTCAGTAAGCTTTTGGACTACATTCTCGGGCAGGAAATCGGCACCGTCTACAACCGCGAGAAGCTGGTGGAGATGCTGAAGGTCACCGAACCCTACAACGATCTGGTCAAGGAAGAGCTGAACATCATACAAGGTGCTCTGGAACTCAGAACCAAGACGGTTGAGGATGTGATGACGCCGCTGAGCAACTGCTTCATGATTCACACCGACGCCGTGTTGGACTTCAACACCATGTCTGAGATCATGGAAAGCGGCTACACGCGGATACCCGTGTATGACACAGAGCGCTCCAACATCGTGGACATCCTGTACGTCAAAGACCTGGCCTTCGTCGACCCCGACGACTGCACCACGCTTAAAACGGTCACCAAGTTCTACAACCACCCGGTGCATTTCGTCTTCCATGACACTAAGCTGGATGCCATGCTGGAGGAGTTTAAGAAAGGTTAGTGGTTGTGTTTTATGTGCATCCTCCTGAGTCTTGAAAGTTTGAACAGAACGTGCTGTGCTCACAGGAAGTAAAGGCTTTGGCTCCATGCAGTTGTTTTCGTCCTCCTATTGATTATGATGGGTGCTCAGACTCCCCCTGAGAGCCAAATCAATAACCATATGCTCCCTGCATCAACCTCCGATCAAGGCAGAGGAATCCCATGCTGCCAAAAGCACCCCACACTCATAAAAAATTGACAACATCATCCTGTCCACCAGAGTTTGCACACTCACTGTGATTACCAATTTTAGCCTCAGATTTGGGGCCGTAACCACCATAGAAATTTGGGGAGACATGTTCCCCTCAATATCCAGATTAGTTCATCAATTAAAGATGCTGGTAAAACTTTACAAAAAGATTTTATTTGTTAACATGAGTTAACTGCATCAGTTAAAATGAACTAACCATGAACAATACTTCTACAGCAATTATGAATCTTAGTTACTGTTAATCTCAACATTTACGAATGCATTTGTAATATCAAAAGTTGTATCTGGTTACATTAATAAGCGCACTGTGAACTAACTTAGTTATTTATCACTAATAAAGGTTAATAAATGCTGTATAATATATAGCGTATAGTTCATGTTCATTATGAACTGCTAAAATGTATGCTTAGGGTTATTGTAGTTAGCAAAAATTGAAACTAAAATTAAAACCCATTAAAAAAACAAACAAATAAACATTGTAAAACTTTTGTAAATTCTGTCAAATAAATGTTAACTGAAATAAAAAAAATTAAAAAACGTAAAATTAAAAAACGTAAGAATTACAAAATGCTAAATTTAACTAAAATGAAAACTGATTTTAATAAAAAAAAATCTATATAGTCTATATGATATTGATATTAATAAAAAAAACTATAATAGTGTCTTGATACTAAAATGACAGTGCATATACCTTAAATTCAAAGGAAATAATAAAAGTGTCTTCCAAATGCATGTTTTATTTCACTTTATTGACTTTAATCATAACGATTATGTTGGTATGATTTTTGTACAAGCTGTTGAAGCTCATTTGAAAACACAGTTTTACCCCAGAGTAGTAATGTTAGATTAATGATGAGTTGTATGGGCGGTGTTTTGAAATGATTGGCAGTTTGAAGTTCCTCCCACTGTATTTTTCATCTCCCGATCACTGCAGCGGTGCCACAGAGGGACAAAAGCGATGTGAAGGCACTGTATTGTCCAAAACGTCAGCTCAGGACATAGCTTTTATTGCATTTGATGATAAATTTGTAGAAACTCTCTACACCCTATTCGAATGTGTTTTCAGTATTTGTTTAAAATGAGCTCCACTGAGATATGAATGCATGTAAATAAGCTTATGAGTATGCAAACAAGTAAATGTGGGTGGTTTGCTTAAATGGCAATTCCTCAAGGAACACTGGAGTGCATCTCAGTGAGAAAAGCCCTTCTCTTAAGCAGTCTGCTGGTCTGATGCTTTCTGTAGTATAAAATAAGGCTTGATCTTGTACTATAAATCCCTGGATTTCAGAAAAAAATCAGCGTGTTTCCTCTATTTAAGATCACTTATTAGGGATATTTTTTTTTTAAATAGAGTTGTTTAGGTTTAGTGATTTTAACAAAAAGTTTTACACTTTTTATTTTTATTTGAATCTAAATTGGCCAGTTTTTAAAATGCATGTTTAATACCTGATTTTACTTGTATTTGAAATATAGTAAAGAGCTTTATTGGTGAAATACATGCATTAACATAACAAAAAATAATAATTACTAATACTTGTCGGCATTGGTCAAAACTTCTGTATTAGTCCATCCATTTATTTTGGTTCAGATTTGAGCATTAAGTGTTGCACAAATTCAGTATTATACAGTTGTTGTACGGTAGTGTTGATTTTGCAGCATTTTCAGATTCCCTCTTAACTTTAAATACCATCAAAGTGTCGTCTGCTCCTGTCTTGCTCCATCATTCCCTTTATCCTTTCTTTTTCTGATCCCCAGACATCTCCGTCATTTCCCCCTCCTAAGCTCTTTTCGCTCTAAGTTTAGTAGCACTTCTGATCTGACTCTCTTCTGGCTCCAAACATGCAGCGCTAATAGTCCAGTATTGCTTAAACGTTTATGATTGATCCGGCCCCTCGGATAAAACAAGATGATGAATAATTCATGGGGTTTTCAGACTGCAGTGATAATACAGCTCATTAATATGCATTTCCATGCAGTGCTTCCATACGAATATGGTTTGAATTATTCTACACCCACTCAGAGGGTTTCCTAGCCTGGTGTGAACTAAAAATAATGTTCTTTTTAGCAGCATCATATGACCCCTTTAAAGAACTATTCAGTTTGCAATTACAGCACTTGGTTCATTTAATTCCCCATTTTCCAAGTGTTCGACATGTTTAGTGGGAGATTTGTGGCTCAGGTTTTTCTGTCCACAGGTAAATCCCACCTGGCCATCGTTCAGAAGGTGAATAATGAGGGTGAAGGAGATCCGTTCTACGAGGTTCTGGGTCTGGTCACGCTGGAGGACGTCATTGAGGAGATCATCAAATCTGAGATCCTGGATGAGTCTGATCTCTACAGTATGTTCATGCTAGTGATATTCTTACTTGTCTTCGAAATTTCACGTCTAGGCATGAGATATAACCAATAGAATTGACCAATCAATTCGATTTATTTATTGATCTAGGCTTTCCCAAAAGCAACGTAAGCTTAAGTAGATCATTGAGACTATTGGTGCTAATGGTTTCGATGATCTATTTGGGCTTATGGAAGCCCAAGTTGAGCATTGGTTGAGTGATTAATGATTTTTTTGCCTTCCAGCTGACAATCGTAACAGAAAGAAAGTGGATCCCGACAAAAACAAGAGGGACTTTTCTGCTTTCAAACATGAGAGGGAATCCAAAGTCAAGATATCCCCGCAACTAATGCTGGCAGTGCATCGTTTCCTCGCTACTGGTGAGCTGTTACATCTATAAGACCCCTCAGTCTTTGAGCATTTGCTGCTGCAAATAACAGAGGATTTTTGTCGTGTGCCATCTTTCCGTAGAGGTGAGCCTTTTCAGTCCACTCCAGATTTCAGACAAGGTCTTACTGCGAATCCTCAAGCACCCGGATGTCATTCAGGAGATCAAGTTCAACGAGAACGACAAGCGCTCGCAACAGCACTATTTATATCAGCGCGGAAAACCTGTCGACTTTTTCGTCCTTATCCTTCAGGTAAGTAAAACTGATCAGTGGAGAATTCAGCTGGAAGCTCTGTAGACTTTGGCAGAATTTGAACGGCCACAAACATCCACACATCTCCCCTGCGTGTGTGTTATGAAACATTTAGGTTGGTTTAAAAATGCTTTCAGCTACCAGTAAAAGTGCTAAATTCTTCTAATTCCTTCAATAATCAGTCACATGTTAGTCGTGCCTGATAAGGCAAATATTACTATTGCTTAAACTGTTCAAATTAAACGCTTTCAACAGTTTTCAACATTGATAATAAATCAGCATATTAGAATGATTTCTGAAGGATCATGTGACACTGAAGACTAGAGTAATGATGCTGAAAATTCAGCTTTGCATCACAGGAATACATTTTATTTTAAAGTATATTAAAAAAGAAAACCATTATTTTAAATTGTAATAATATTTCACAATATTACTGTTTTTATCAAATAAATGCAGCCTTGATGAGCATAAGAGACTTCTTTAAAAAAAAAAAAACATTAAATCCCAAACTTTGGAACAGTAGAGTATATATTAGACCTTTATATTGAATCTGCCTCTGTTTCAGAGTTTTTATATATATATATATATATACAGTGCCGTGAAAAGGTTTTTGCCCCCTTCCCGGTTTTTTTTTTTTTTGCATATTTGTCACACTTAAAAGATTCAGATCATCAAACCAATTTTAATATTACGCCAAGATAAATTTAGATGTCTTTCCAAAAAAGGACACTTAGAAACTCCAAAAGGACACCAAAGAACCAAATGATGTAAGGAGCCCATATAAGCACATATGAAAGAAAAAAAAACCAGAATTTTATAGTATGTGTACAGTGCAACAGCAAAAATTGTTTTTTACATTTTAGAGAAGCCAAGTTGGGATACCGAACAGCACCACATGGAGATGCCAAAAAAACCTAAACCAACCGCCTGCTGACTGACTGCATATATCTACTACAGTACACGGATCCATTCAGTATAACTAAACACAGCAACATAAACATGAAAAATCTAAACATTATCGTGAATGTGTGTGGAAACAACGTGAATGCACGGAAATGTCTGTGCCTGTGCATAAATACAATGTGCGATCAGTGCGTCAAGAGCACTCATACACGCATTTATTATAACGGACTCAAGCGTGCTTACTGTACGACTCCTGAAGAGCACTCATACGCATTTTATTATAATGGCCTCACGTGTGTACTGTATGCCACTTCTGTATGCCACCGCAATCGTCTACCTTGACTGCAGTCTTCATCCATCAAAACTTTACTAGCGAGACTGGTAATCCAGTCGAGAAACCGTAGTTTGCGTCTCATCTGGCCATATAGCGGTGGGATGTGTTGACAATCTGACAATCTGTGACAATTCAGTCTGTACTTCACACAGCGCGCGTGACGTGAGGGCTCACGCTTTGGACTGAAAACTTTCACGGAGTTTAGCGGCTTAAAATGATCTAATCGCAAGCAGAGAAGCAAAATTGGGTTAAAGGGTTAGAATAGAAATTGTGCTTTAGTAATTTTGCGTTAATTGCGTTAAATTATTTTAACGCCTTAAGGATCGTAAAATTAATCGCATGCGTTAACGCGTTAACGATGACAGCCCTTATATATATATTTATATATAATTATTTTCAGATATCAAATAAATTGCAAGTAATGCTGGTTTATTTTATTTTTAGATTTATTTCATCATTTATTTAAATAAATTCATTGAAATTATAATATCTTTAAATATCAAAGTATAATAATATATATATATAGTTAAAAAAAGAAACCTCAGACTTCCATTGAATGAGGGTCCGGTGCATATTTAGAAAATCACAGAGACTTGAGGATGTACTTTTTTGATCTGAGCCAGTTAGCATTCCCAGAACACCCTAACAACTGCATAGTAACACCTTGGCAACCATTTAAAACTCCTTAGCATCCTTGTGGTGACCTGGACAAAGATGTCTCACATAAATATGACCTTTTTAATAATGAACTGTCTGGTACCGTTTTACTGCACCAGAGAGTTTGGGAGATTTGAGAGAAGGAGAAAAGGTCAGAGAAGTTGCCTGTTCCCCAGGGCTGCTACCATGTGATTCACCCATTGTGTCCCATGTTACCCCTCACCATTTGACCTTGTGCAGGGGACTCGCTCCCCGTGGCATTGCTCCAGGGATGCCAGTTGTACAACCATCCACAAATATCTCTCTCCGCCTGTCATTGCTCAGAATTTTGAGTGGAGGATTAGATGTGTCTAAAAATAGAGCAGATTTTTCTGAAGAAAACATGAGTGGTGCTTTCCTGTGCAAAACTCACTGCCATGATGCAGGATGCTGTGAGAGGTTGTCAGGGCATTGCTACGTAGTTGTTAGGTTGTTATAGATTGTTGCCAAGGCCTAGAACTAGCTTAGCAACCTAGAACACCATAACAACCGCATAGCAATGCCTTGGCAGCCACATAGAAATTCTAGTGAGTTTTCTAGTGTTTTAGGTGGTTGCCAGGGTGTTCCTATGTGGTTTCTAGGGTGTTTTAACCCTCTGGCCCTGCTCGTGTGGTGGTTAAAAATTATCTTTTTTTTTTTTTCATTTCAGTGAAATTAATCGAAATTAATCAATTAAAATAAAATTAATCAAACTAAAATATTAATATTTTTTTATTAAATATTTTTTATTTTTAGGGGATTTTATGGTACTAAAATATATTTATGGAATAGTTATGATCCATATACTACTACTTTTTGAGCATAGACCTGAAAATGAAATTTTCAACTCTCATAAATCTTGAATGCTCCGGAGCACGTCCTTAAGTTTGGTCTCTTTTTGTAAGATGACTCTTGGCAGATTATTGCTGAAGTAAAAAAGAAAAAAATGTTTTTTTTTATCACAAAAATACAAAATATTTATATAAAATATATTTTCCAAAAGATATTTTACTCTAAAACTGAGAAAATCAAAGCCATAAATCTAAACAAGTTGTGTTCCAAATATGAGGTTGAAACTTGATATCAATAAAAAATAATAGTAAGGTTTTGTTTGGGTGCTGTACCAAACGTTTCCACTAGATGAAATTTGCAGCACTTTCATTTCCAATGCTGTGATTTTTGACCTTTCTGAATCATGTCCATTATTATTTTTTTGTCTTCACATAGCAAGTGCGAAAACCTTTACCAAGTTTCGTACTATTCTGTATTTGTACTATTTCTTACTATTTTCATTCAATTCATATTCTAAAAAAAAACAAACAAATGTAACATTTTTCGGTCAAGTTTTTTGGTTAAGTGTTTGTCGAGGCATTGCAATACGGTTGCTAGGGTATTCCGGGGGTGTTGCTAGGTGCTTTCTTACTGCCACTCTGTAGTCATCTTTAGATATGACTTGGGTCCATCCTTTAATTAAATTCAGTTGATGATTTTTTCTTTTTTTATTTGCCTGTGTTATTGTTTGCCAAGCAAAAATGATAAGTCTGATAACTTGAAGTAACAGTGTACCTCTCTGCACAATTTGAGACATCGTTCCTACTCTTCCACTGTCAGAAAAAAAGGTACAAAAGCTGTAACTGGGGTGGTACCTTTATAAAAAGTACAAATATGTACCATTTAGGTACTAATATGTACACTTTCACAGCAAAATCCCCAGAGTTAAATCAACTCTGCTCAGAGTTCATATTATCCCAATCTACAGAGTGTTAAAGTAACACTGAAGCAGAGTTACCACTGTTGAGGATTATGTTATATGTTTTCATGTCTAAAAGCCTGAGCAGTAGTTGTTCATCTTCAACATTGTTAACAGCGGGTTTTCTTTACTAATGCTCACTCATCAAATAATTAATTGCTTAATTATCCCATTAACTTTAACTCGGCTTCAGTGTTACTTTAACACTCTGTAGATTGGGACAATATGTACTCTGAGCAGAGTTGATTTAACTCTGGGGATTTTGCTGTGTAGGTACCAATATGCAACCTTTAGTGGTAAATTAGGTACAAAGATGTACCTTCTGAAAAGGTACTGCCCCCGTGACAACTTTTATACCTTTTTTTTTTTTTT